ATTTAAATTTTGTTCTAATGTATATTTATAATTATATAAATTTCTTAAAAAAATCTGGTGAGGTCGCTTATAGAAACTACTCAACCAAAATATGTGAAATTTGGAATATAGTTTCTAAGATATATTTAATGAAGCTACTGAATAATCCAGATCATAATAATTAATCGTTTTTGCGCAATTTTATTATATATTCCACCGGAGTATTGAAGGGTGAATACCGAAACCCTTTGTTGCATAGGTGGTGGAACTATGCAGACATCAGTCATTTTAATGGTACCATAAGTAAGATGGCGCGCAGGGGCTCGAGCCCCCTGAAAAATATGAAGAGCCCCCTTAAAATTTTGAAATTTTTTTTCATATTATACATGTAAATGTTAATTTTAAATGAAACTAAAAAAGCATAATTTAGAAATAAATGATGTTAGCTAAAAAATGTAATTTTAGATAATGTTAACTAAAAACAAAGTAATTTTAAAAAAATTATTTGAGTCCCTTGAGATTGTAAAAGTTATTGATTATCTTGCATTTAAAAAACGTTATAAAATTTCAATCTATATTTTTGCCTAAATATTTAGTAGATTAACATTTTTAGGTAAAGTAGGGGAGACTGGGGTTAGTCGCTCCCATTTTTAAAAATTGGTTATAGCTCTTGGTTTTTTTTAGCTAATATAAAAAAAATATATCAATAATTCTTAGGACAGCCGAGCTTTTATATGTATGGACCCCCTCTAAGGAAAATTTCTAGCTATGCCACTCAAGCATATAATCATTTTAATTTAATTTTTTGTAAAAGTGAAATTTTTGTCCAACAAGCCCCAATAGCGGGGTAAGGCAAACATCTTCAAGGGCCTTCCTAACCATCGGTTTTTTTAGGGCATAATAAATTGAAATGCAATAATGGTACGCACAGAATAATTTTATTGTTTTATAGTTCAAATTATAATATTTATGAATTGAAGCTAATTTTATAAAAAATAATTTTAATTAATTTAATAAACATTTAGTACATATAAAAATAAGGATCTTAAGGAGAGATTATGATTTCTAAGTAAAAATCCTAAATACCAATCATAAAACAGCCATAAAATTGCCTTTTCAAGAATTTGCAATTTTTTTCATTATCTGCAATATGATAAGCTCTGAATTGCCAAATCATGATTGAAATAGTTATAAATTAAATACTCATGAAACTTTTCCAAATTATAGAAGAGTGTTTAAACTTTGCTATAAAATTTAATTTACGTATAAATAATTATGTTTTTAATAAAAAATAAAATTCTGTCACGTAAAAATCTTTTTAAAACTTTATCAAAATTTTATTTCTTAAATAAAATTTTCGATAATTAATTATTTCAATTGTATTGATTTGATATAAAATATGTATTTCGTATTGGGATATGTAATCCATTGAGATTCGAAAACCTTTCAACTTTAAGTCATTTACTGAGGGCGAATTTTAAATATGAAAAATCTGGTTTGTCCAGAAATGTAATAGAGCTTCCACATTATGAATTTCAGACAATTTTGCCTAGAACTTTTTAATTTTTCTTAACTTATATCAATTTTTAAAAATATTTTTTTTGCATGTTAAATAAATATATATATAAATTTATGGCAATATCTGAAATTTATAATATGATAAACAAAAATAAACAACAAATTATAACTTTGAGTCGGGCATATCGATGTTAGAAAAAGCTATTTTCATTGCGCTGAAATGGCTATAGAGGAATTTAAAATCATCTAAATTAAGTTTTTTAATATATAAATTTTGAAATTCTTAAAACTTTTGAGAATTTTATTTTATTTAGGACACCTAAAATAAAAGATAGGGTGTCATATTGGGATGTAATTCATTTTATTTTCTACCAATCCTATATCATTTATTGAAAGCGATTTTTAGATTAGGAAAGTCTGATTTGACAGGAAATAGATTTTAGCATGTGTTGAGTAACTAACCTATGAATTTTAAACAATTTTAGCCATGACCTTTTTATGTATTTTTCAATTTATGTGAAAGTAAGCGTAGTTCATCAGTTAATGGCTTGTCTGAAATTCAAATTGTGAATACTCTTTATATGCTATAAAACTTTTCCGAAAAAATTGTCTTTTTAAAATCGCATTCAGTAATTGATTTTAAATAAATTCGAAATCCTCAATACCTAACATTTTCGAGGATAACATTAATTTTATAAGGATGAAATTGAAATAAATATATAGTATAATATATTTGCATGTGGCAATTGAACGATCTCTAGGCTGGAACATCAGGAATCATGATTCAGTTATATGTTAAAATCACGTCTAAAACTTAATTCATTTTCTAATAACTGCAATATAATGAGAATCACTTTACTAGTGGACACATTTCTACTTAAATTTTAAAAAATTTTCAGAAAAAGACCAGACTTAGGGAAATTCCAATGAATCACTTTATTTCCTGTATAAACATTTATTTTAATCATCTGTATAAGAATTTATTAAAAATTATTATGGGAATTAATTATAACTGAAATGTTTAAAAATATTTTGAAAAAAAAAAAATTAATCTTCTATCATTATTAGAATTATCACAAATAATCACTATCGTGGAAATTTTAATATAATCATTAGATTCTCACAGAGATGGATAAAATAAGAATGATGCAAATTAACTTTTATTTTTATAAAAAATAATAATAAAATTTGTAAAAATAAAATTTGTCGGACATTTTACAAATGTAACTCATGATACTCTCTATTCTTCCTGAGATACTTTCCAATTATTCTAATTTTTTATTTATTTCATACTTTATTTGGTCAATTAATTCAAATTTCTTTTAATTTTAAACCTAAGGCCTCATTTAGAGCAAAAGCGTTATGTTTCAAGCGGTGCGTAGTTTACAAAATCAAGCCAATAATTAAGTACAATTTATAATTGTGGAGCATTACGATGATAACGCTATGATAAATTTGAGAAGCATATTTGGCAATGCCATAAATTATTAACACTGAAAAGAATCAGCTATAATTTCGAAGCGTTTTATGCAACGCTTAAACATAACGCCGTTATTATAAATGAGGCTTAAATATCTAAGACCTTTCATATTTCGAATATTTGCATATTAAAAATTTCATCATCTTCGCTAACTAGCATTTAATTAAGGACCGAGTTTATAGTAAACTCGCATCGCTTAGATATTTTTCAAAAGTAAGCAAATAGATAAAATTTATAATCTATAACCACGTCATCGCATCGGTTTACCTATCATTTGCTTGCCTTTGAAAAATATCCAGCGATTCGTGTTTACTATATAAAAGGCTTTAATTCTGAGTAATTACTATATTTTTAAAGCAATCGATATTTATATATGTAATATTTAAAACTAGAAGTACCCTGTATAAGTTTAATATATTTATTTTGTTTAAAAATTTTATTTATGACTATCAAACGCACAAATTTTTTTAAGCGCTAGGACGACTTTGATAAACTTCTCATTGGCTTACAAATTAGACAGCTGATTACATTTAGAAATGGCCAAAAATAATGATTTTGACTGTAATTAGAGAATTGCAAATCAGGGCTCGGTGTCCATTTTTAGAAAATTATTTCGGTTCGGGGAGCTTAATAATTTTGGGTCGGGTCGGGTCGGGCCGGGCTTAAATTTTTAAATACGATATCATACATTTTGTCAAATAAATTGATATATTTTTAAAATCTTGCAAGAAAATAGAAAAAAAATTTTGCGAAAAGAAATATTAAATTAATCTATATTTAAATAAACTCGGGCCGGCCCGACAAATAATTTTTATTTTGGTTCGGGATCGAACCGGGCCGAACAAATTTTTTTTAAAAAAATTCCGGACCGGGTCGGTTTAAAAATTTGCCCAGATGGAGATTACGAGATTCCAAAGAAATCAAATCATATGGATAGTTTTATTTGCGCACAATCGATAAACTGTGAAACTAATTATATAAAACTGTTTTTACTATTTTTTTTACAGCGGGAATGAATAAGTAAACCATTATACTAATATCATATAGATTCACTGTTTAAACAAAATTACATGTCAATTAAAACTTTTATTTTAATGAATGAAAAATAAAAACTATAACGTAAGCGATATAAATGTCAAAATCGAATAAATCCAAGTTTTTGGCCTAAAACTATCAGTTTGGCCTCGGGGTCTCAAAAAGATAGCAGCTAACGTTTGAAAGAAATTAATATAAATTAAAACGCCTTAATGTTAACGGATTTTCTCCAGCTGGCGCCTGAAGAATGAGCCGAATTAGCCGATATTTACCATTACCCAACTAGTCATTCTATTATGACGGAAAACTTATGACACAAGAACAACAGTAATATTATTAATATTTTATTTTGATTGAAAGTTTTACCAAATAACTCCGAATTTTCCTCCTCTCTTTTGTAATATATCATGAGAATAGAACATTTCAAAATATCAATTTAATTCTTCAAATTATTGTTTGTATATCTTCAAAATTATACGAAATGCAAATTAATTATATTTAATTTTATCAACTTTTTAAAGCAGACGATAATGCGCCCTAAATATTTCATATAATTTTATTTTTTTTAAAAAAATTTTATTTATTTTAAAAATATTTTATTCACATTGAACTTTAAAAAAAAAATGATTGTTTTTCTAAAAATATTATTTTAATAATTAATCAAAAATATAATATATTAAAACCTTAAATTCAAAAATTTAAGAATATATATATAAGAAGTTAAAAAAAAGTTTGAATAATAATATTATTCAAAAATAGATTAATTGATATTTTGGATTCATAAATATTTGACAAGTAATACATAAATATTTCAAAATATTTATTTGACACAGAATAAAGAAATATATTATTAAATAAATTAAAATTTGGGTAAATATTAATATAGTACAATATATTCCCCTTAAAATTCATTCGAATTAATTTTTAACAAATAAATAATAATTTTTTAAAATATGAGTACAATTTTTTAGTTTTACTAATTAAATAATTGAGTTTGGATTTTAGGGGTTTTCACAAGATGTAAACTTTCTCAAATTGGCCAAAGGCAAAGGACTCTCTCGTTTGTGGGCAAGTGATTTTGTTTTCGTTATTAGCTGCCATTTGCTGCAATGCCTAAACAAAAAAGAATTAAAGTTTATTTTATAATGTTACATACATCCAACTTCCTTGATGTAATTTTAGTGGAAGAATGGCGATTAAAAAATTAATAATATACCAATAATTAATCATTTTTATGAAATTTTGAAAGATAATAAATTTAAGAATAGTATTTTTGTAATCAATCCATTTCATTCATTTTTTCGTTTTGACTGGGTCATGATCATAATCATATCAAAGAGGCGACTGGATAATTCTCATGAATGACTATTATTTTCTCTTGGTTTTCCAGCCTCTTCATTAGTTCACTCTCAGCTTGAAAAGTATTTTACATTCTAATATTTAATTAATAAATATGAATTTTTCGCTTTTATTACAAAAAAAATTTTTTTTTAACCATTTTAATAAATTTGAAATAATAATTTATTTAAAATTAAAAGATTTTAATAAATATAGTAGCCTAAATGTTTTTAAAATAATTATTTTTAGAATTTCTGTATATTTTTAGATTTTGAAAAAATTTAATATTATCCTTATTAATGAGATTACTAATCTAATGTTATCCAAATTTCTGTTGTAAGGAATACACTTATAAAGATTTATGAACATGTTTAATTTAAAAAAATATATTATTTAAGCATTTAAATAAACAAAGAAACGGTATATCTTATATAATTTGGAGAAAAATGTGTAGAAAATTTCAGAATTTATCATTTCGAAAACATAAAATATTTTGCTAATCCCAATCGTGTTATTCTAACCTTTTTCCCGGTAACATGAGAGGAGGGTTGGTATCATCCAAAGGTTCTCGCCCGATTCTACAAATCAAACGGGATTGAGTGCTGTGAGCAAAGGGAAGATCTCGGCACAATAGGGCCATTTTAGAATTACACACTGGACATCGGGGGTCGGCCACGTAACTACTGCTAGAAGCAGATGATGTGTTAGAAGTAATTAGCGTAGATGGGGTAGAGACAGCTGGAATAAGAGTAGAAGATAGAGAAGGCACTGAAGTAAAGGAAGTTGAGAATATAATAGCGGAAGTAGAAATATTCGTTAAAGGCGTAATAGGAGTCGAGTCGTCAGATGACAAAGTTGAAGTATAAGCAGATGATATAATGGGAGTAGAAGGAGATAAAGTTGAAACGATTGCAGGCGCTAGTGAAGCGGGAGTTGCAACAGCAGGTAATAGACTTGAAATAAAAGCAGATGATAACGAAACAGGAGCCGTGGCAGCCGATGAAGTAACTTTTTTGCGTCGCTTGGAGGTTGCAGAGCTTGTCGCGGCATTTTCTTTGTCCTTGCAATAAGAATCGTATTTATTCGTATTGCATTGACTTTATTTTATTTTAAATTAACAAGTTTTAAACTAATATTCAAATATATAACAATAAATATTTGTGTATGTGTCATAGGAGTTTGAAAATTCAGTTTGTTAAACTAGGTTTTTTTTTGCAAATTTGTAAAACTTAAATCATTTATTTAGTCTGAATCGTGTGTCAGCATGTTTAAAGTATATACCCTGTAAATTTCAGACAATTTCGTCGCAAAGGAAACCCCTATACCTGTGGGAAAAAACAATTCAGACAATTTCAGGTGGTCATTTTAAAATTAAAAAAGAGGCGATAATATGAATGATTTAAAATTTTAAAAAATTTACAAAAAAAACAATTTTTTTTTAATAATCATATAAAATAAAGCCAATAAATAGGTAAAAATGAATAAATATGGGGCATTATGATGTATGATAACATTTGAAATACATATGTTGCGAATGCGTTGAGAAAAAATATGTTATACGATTATAAAGTTAATAACGGATTCAATAAAAAGGTACATTATTTTTAAAATAATTATCTCTAGCTTTATCTTAAATTAGTTATAAAACTGAATAAGTTGTAATAACGCTGCCTTAAATAACGCAACGCTTGAAAATAACGCGTTAACTATAAATGCAGCGTAAATAAACGAGATTTATAAATTCATGTAAAGTTTTTTTTAACGGTGTTTTGAGAGACGCCAGTCCGGCTTGCAAGGTGATGCAGAATATAGACTGTTTATCGAGCTGGTACATTTTAAATATGGCGTCTCTGAATGAATGAATGAACCAAATCTACCCATCTATCATCGCTAAGGTATTCCTAGAAAATAAAATTATGTTAAATACTAATATAATTATTTTTTAAATTCGAAATTTATATAAGCCTATAATTCATATTTTTGAAAAAAGAAATATATTTAAAAAATATTTATAATGCATATTCATATGTACTGCTAAAAAACCTTTTTAAATGCGGACAATATTTACTTATCTTACTTAAAAAAAGAGTTTTCATTTATTTCAAAAATATATTTTAAAAATGACAACTTGCTGTACAAATTAATAACCGTTTTAAAATCTGTTTTTTTTAAATTTATTTTATACAAATAGGCGTTTTAACACACATGCCGCCACTCGATTTGTAAGCACAATTAAGATTCATAAATAAGAATCAGATTCAAATGTGACAGAACAGTATTTCACCATAAAAAAATAGAAAAATGTCAAATTATTCGAAAAAGTTGCAATTATATTTGATTTTTTTTCTTTAAATATTTAAAATTAACTTGATAAGCTTCAGAGACATCTTTAGGAGAATATACTAGGAGACCCATGATTTTTTTGACTTGATGATAATTAGTTTCATCTACGCCGCTACTAAAATATTTTCTGCTGTATCTGTAAATTAAATTTTATGTGGGGAAAAAATGTTTAAGGAAAGAAATATGAAATTTGATCTTTCACAAAATACAAATTCTATTTTTTAATAACTCCAAAAATAATGATGGAAACTTAAAAATTTTTTCATTTTATGTTTAAATAAGTTAGTTTACACCAAATTAGTCAAAAAAAATAAAATATTTTTAAAATCCCAAAAATTTTTAAAAAAATTAAAAAATTGACTAAACTGAGAATCCACATCATAACTCCAAAATAAATGATGGAAACTTAAAAATTTTTCATTTTATGTTTCAATATGTTAGTTTACACCAAATGAGTCAAAAAAAATAAAATACTTTTAAAATCCCAAAAATTTAAAAAAAAATTAAAAAATTGACTAAACTGAGAATCCACATCATAACTCCAAAAATAATGATGGAAACTTAAAAATTTTTTCATTTTATGTTTAAATAAGTTAGTTTACACCAAATTAGTCAAAAAAATAAAATATTTTTAAAATCCCAAAAATTTTTAAAAAAGTTAAAAAATAGACTAAACTGAGAATCCACATCATAACTCCAAAAATAATGATGGAAACTTAAAATTTTTTTCATTTTATGTTTAAATAAGTTAGTTTACACCAAATGAGTCAAAAAATAAAATATTTTTAAAATCCCAAAAATTTTAAAAAAATTAAAAAATTGCTAAACTGAGAATCCACATCATAACTCCAAAAATAATGATGGAAACTTAAAAAATTTTTCATTTTATGTTTAAATATGTTAGTTTACACCAAATGAGTCAAAAAAATAAAATATTTTTAAAATCCCAAAAATTTTAAAAAAATTAAAAAATTGCTAAACTGAGAATCCACATTGTAACTCCAAAAATAATGATGGAAACTTAAAAATTTTTTCATTTTATGTTTAAATATGTTAGTTTACAACAAATGGGTCAAAAAAATAAAATATTTTTAAAATCCCAAAAATTTTTAAAAAAATTAAAAAATTGCTAAACTGAGAATCCACATCATAACTCCAAAAATAATGATGGAAACTTAAAAATTTTTTCTTTTATGTTTATGTTTAAAAATGTTAGTTTACACCAAATGGGTCAAAAAAATAAAATATTTTTAAAATCCCAAAAATTTTTAAAAAAATTAAAAAATTGCTAAACTGAGAATCCACATCATAACTCCAAAAATAATGATGGAAACTTAAAAATTTTTTCATTTTATGTTTAAATATGTTAGTTTACAACAAATGGGTCAAAAAAATAAAATATTTTTAAAATCCCAAAAATTTTTAAAAAAATTAAAAAATTGCTAAACTGAGAATCCACATCATAACTCCAAAAATAATGATGGAAACTTAAAAATTTTTTCATTTTATGTTTATGTTTAAATATGTTAGTTTACACCAAATGGGTCAAAAAAATAAAATATTTTTAAAATCCCAAAAATTTTAAAAAAATTTAAAAAATAGACTAAACTGAGAATCCACATCATAACTCCAAAAATAATGATGGAAACTTAAAAATTTTTTCATTTTATGTTTATATAAGTTGGTACCAAATCAATTAATCCAGAGCGAAGAATTATGCTCCTATAATTCATATTATTTTTAATTAAAAACTAAAATTTTAATAATTTACGCCATCTAGCGGAAATTTATTTATGCTATATAAAATATTATGGGTATTTTATTTTCTATATAATATATTAAAATAACACTCAATAATATATAATATTGTTTCTCAATAATCTCACCGATTATTATTATAACTTATAATTTCTCAATAATCTCACTGATTATTATTATAACTTAATATTATTGGTTAGAATTTTGAACAATTTACTACTTTTTAACATTTCTTTATTTTATAACTTTTTCTTAAATTAATTCCCATATAAAATATTGTAATAATTCTATTAATGAATACAAAAACATTCGTTTCTTTGTTTTACAATTATTATATCCCTCCGCGTTAATTCTTTATCCAATCAATATAAACAAAAATCAATATTTTTTATATTTCTAAATATATATTAATAATTGATTGACATTTATAATTTAATAATAATAATATTGATAAATATATATATATATAATATACCAACATATATGAAATATCCACTACAAATATATAAGAAATATATAACATAGATCTGTTATACATATCACAAATTTATGGACTACAATATCTTTTCTATTCTAATTTATATATTTAGATAATTTTAATTTTGGATAAATTTGATTTTTATAATAAAAACCTTTTTTTTTAAAGTTTTTAAAATATATTTAAACTACAATAATTTTGGCAAGCAAAATAAAAATATAGGGGATAAGACAAGAAGAGCCCTTACATTAGAACCTAAAGAATTTTATTTTTTAAAACAAAACCTTCAAATCACAATTTTAAAATATAATTACCAGAATTGTTAAAAGATACTTTTTAAATGGATCTAGATACAGATACATCGTCTAAAATAATATCTAGTTACTGATATTTTTATCAAAAATCTATCTAGATACAGATACCACATTTTTATATCTAGATCCTTTAACAACTCTGATAATTACTCGTTTTTTGGGAACTTGTAGTCCCACCTCCGTTTTTATACAATATTGTTTTATTTTATTTTATATTTGATGTGAGAAAACTATTTTGAATAAATACATTAATTCTTTTTTCAAGTTTTTTTTATTTTATTTTGTTCTTTTGATAATATTATTATTTTATGTTTTAATATATTTAAAAATGTTTGAAAAATATATAATAATACTATAAAAAAAAGAAGGGAGATGGTGTGAAGCAGGGAAACAAAAATGAAAAAGGGAAGTAAGTGTAGTCTAGGATAGCTCTTTGGCTAGAAGACTACCATTGAAACTGATATAATTAGCTTTGAGAATCGCTATGGATAATTGTTAACGAAGAAAAAAACCCTCTCGAAGTTCTTCTGAGAGTTTGCTGATTTGTGATCCTAAGTTTTTGAAAAATGCTAAGGCGAGTTTGCCGAAGGTGCCAAGAGTGGTTGATATGATTGGGATGAAGCAATGATCGTTCATTATTTCTGTGTATTTAGAAGTTTTAAGTTGTTCCTTCTGGTCAAGGATGTTGATGGCGTGGTTGGATGGGGCCAAGGGGTCAATACAGGAATAGTCCCATACCAAAAGTTGGCCTCTCCTCCATGGGATTTGAGAGATCCCGTCAGGACGTTTATCATCAGATCTAAAAAGACCCTGTGGTTCTAGAGTGCAAGGAATTTGGGCGGATTTCAGTGCATTTACATTGCTTGTGTCTGATGAATCGTCCATTGCAGGAGCGACAATGTAAACTATGTCTACCCTTCGAGTCAACTGGCGAGTTGCACCCTGAGCAGATGTGAGGGTGAGTGATGGAACAATTTAGACGAATGCCGATGGCGTGGGTAAATTTATTGTTGGATAGTTGAAGCTGAAGATTGGTAGATGGGATGGCCTCAGGAAACTCATGTCCCGTACCATTGAGCAGGGAAGAGAATAGGGTGCGGTAGGTAGATTGCATGCTAGATAAGAGAGTTTCAACGCAGCAAGCAACCACTGGTGCATCCCAGTCTTTCTGTCTATGGGTTGTGGGGGGATGAGAATCAGCATTGATCCTTGTTTTCCAAATATCCATAGCCACAATTAAGGAAAGGTTTTCTTTAGAATTATGGGCGGTGGTTATTGGCTTTGTCAAGAGACTACTCGATATGAAAGTAGTTATAGCTAAGTCATGTGGAGATCTGATGCCGAGACCACCAAATTTGGTTGGAAGAGTTGCTTGGGCCCAAGCGGTTTCGTTGAATCTGATATTTACTATTTTTTCGGTTAAGTCCTTTATTCCTTTTTCGTAAGTTTTTTAGAGGAATAGGATATTTAAAAATTGGTGTTGACCGAAGTGCGTAAAGAATCCTTGGTATAAAAAAGAAATTTTTTAGCAAAAAAAAGGACTTGTGTGATGGAAGAAGTGTAAAGATGTCCTCCAGTTTAAGGAGTATGTCAAGTGTGGAATGAAGAAAGGTGCTTATTGCCTCGTGTCCCTACAGGCGATCCTAGATGTGTTAATTCAACGCTTGATGTGAATTTGAAATCGTGAGTGTTGGGAGCATTAGAATTTAAATGTGAGAATTCAGATTTGCTCTGGTTAAGCGAAAGTCCAATGGCTGTGCCCATTTCTTTAATTAAGTTGACTGCTTTGGCGATTTCACTACAGGGACCACTCAAGATTCCATCATCAATATACCAAGCGTGGAGCGATAGAGTACATGAAGAGTTTATTGATTTTATCATGTCATTGATTCCAAGACTAAATACTTTTATAATTTTGTTAATTTGATAATGTTATAATTTTGAATGATTAAATTGATT